ACAATTTTTACACTTGCTTGGCCGTTTGTTAAAAGGCTTTTTCCTCAACAAGCCAATTTTAACACACAAAATAAATACATTCTAGGGCTTTCCAAATCGAAGAATTTAGTTACCATGAACAGTTTTTCAAATGTCTTTGTAGAATGGGAAGTTACCGGTAATTAGAAAATGCAAAATGGCTTTTAGTTGGAAAAGAGAGTGCTTAACACAATCATTTTACTATCTCTACATTTGTCAGAAACAATGTTACTTTTACTGTAGCAATACTGTGTAAAATTACCCAGCCATGGAATCCTAAATATATCTACCCAAAAACAAGTCCCACTAAATTCAATGGGACTTACTCCCAAGAAAGTATATGTATAATTGCTGCCTTAAAACATTCCTTTTTCATTTTTATTTTTAAAGATTTTAAATCTATACATGATTTGTTTAAATAGTAATGTATTATATGCAACAAGTAAACAGATAAAATGTATTTCATGCTATATTTTGTCTAACAATTTAAATGTATCTATTTCAGGAGATGAAATTATCCATGAACTATACTGTAACACATCTCTGTAAGGCAACTGTAGGGTAGCTTTAGAAAGTGGCTCCCTGCGTGGAAAAGGTTAATTAAAATTTTACAAGATCCAGCTCTGGCAGAAATGTTTACAAATGCATCCAATAAAGGGAGGTAGTATCATTCAAACAGTAATGATACTTGCCAGCTATACACATGACCAAAGAGCAATGAAAACTGCCATTACTTTACATGTGTAAATAACAGTAAACATGTAAGTTGTTTTCCTACCCAATCTGCTGTTTGATAGTTCATACTCTGGAACTCAGTTTAGCCATCTAGATATCTTTTACTTTCTAAAATGTAAAATATTATTTACACTGCATGTCTTTTCAACATAAGTGTTGCCTGCTTCCAATTAAATTATTGGTGTGTTATAACTTATGTAACCACAACAGTAACATATTATGAAGGAGATATTAGCAAAGTTAGGATAACCCCAAGTTTTGCAGAAGTACAAAAATTGTTTAGAAAAACCCTTGAGGAACAGAAGCCAGCCCCAAACAACCCAACAAGGATTGAGCATGCTTAGTGGCCACAGAATGATAACTGACTGCTAAGCAGGGAGGGAGGGAGCCCTGAAATGGGGGAGGCATAGGCCATTTCCCACTCTATACTGAGAAGCTACTTTTGAATGTCCCACAGAGACAGATAGAAGAGCTGCCTATAGAAATCAATACAGATATGAAAATTTTAGCTCAGAGTGAATGACCTGCAGCACAATCCCATTCATCTCAAAAGCAGGTCCCTTATTCCTAGGTAACTGTACATGGGAAATGCAGCCAATAAAGTCTTCGCTTGGAAAAATGCAACTGAACTAAATATGTGTTTGTGAATGTGCAGTATCTAATGATTACTGATCATTTCAGGTTAATTTTGTGCATGTCTGAAAATAGATGTGTATTTCCTGACTTTAGGGGCATAGTGTCTGCCAATATTCTCAAAAGTATACATGAAAGCCAACATTCACATGTGGGGAAACCCAGCCAGATGGACGGGTATAATTAATAAAATTATTATTATGTGAATGCCAACATGACCAGATGTCAGGTATTCCATAATATATATACACCAAGATATTTATTATTATTATGACCAGAAAGTCATCTTGTTCATTTCTCCTTCCACTTGAATAGGGCCACACAACTGTCTCTCAAAGACATTTCCACACATGCTCAGTAATTATGCACCACAAAGTGTAGGTGCATCCCAATTAAGCTGCCTGCAGCAAAGATATTTATACCCTGCCACACATTGTCAAATGAGAAGAAAGCACCATCCAATCAGATATCAGGGAAATTATTTTCCAAGCATAACGTGGTAACTAGTTCAAATAAGAGACTGGTTCAAACTCATTATCTTATCAAAAAACATTTTCCACATCAGAAATGGATTAGCCACAACATTCCATTCCATTGTAATTCCTCAGGGAGCAACAGCAGTTACTCTAACAAGGTTGGTAAAAGAAAATGTGTCTCACACATAAAAGAAAAACAAAGGTGAATTTTGGAGAATATTCACACTAAACAATATCACATATAGAGTGGTACTTCTGGTTACGTACTTAATTTGTTCCGGAGATCCATTCTTAACCTGAAACTGTTCTTAACCCGAAGCACCACTTTAGCTAATGGGGCCTCCCACTGCTGCCGTGCCGCTGGAGCACGATTTCTGTTCTCATCCTGAAGCAAAGTTCTTAACCCGAGGTACTATTTCTGGTTTAGCGGAGTCTGTAACCTGAAGTGTCTGTAACCTGAAGCGTATGTAACCCGAGGTACCACTGTACTGCATATATGTATCATTATCTTACTTGGTCAACATGCAGAATCTGACTCTAAAGCAAGTAAGATTACCAGAGGACTCAGGCCCAACCCATTGCTGAAGCAGGGTGAAGCACTGGTCTTGAACAGCAGAAACTCAAGTGGTGTCACCCACCTCTTCCACCAGGGAAGAAGCAGTCCTCTCCACCACATTCCAATGGTACATTCAATTCCTTTTCCATCTACACCCTTATCTCCACTAAGTGGCTGCTCCATAGCAACATCATTTCCAGAAGACAGGCAGGGGCAGCAGAAGCAGCTATCAGTAATACTGCACTAATGGCAACTATTCTTGCTTTTATGCAGCTGCCTTGGCAGTCTCCATGTGAAACAAGGATTCAATGTGGATGGACAGGTAGGCCACTGTTCTTACCATCCTTAAATGCAGCCTTCCAACACCATCCCAGAATTAATTAGGACAGTCCAATATGCTCTTTCTCCTTGGAAACATACATTTAAAGACGCATACTGGATATGGTGGTGGTAGTGTATGTGGTGGGGTGGAGCTGCCCTCCTGACATGGGTGTCACTGTTGTTTATATGGGGCAGGGCCAATCCTGTGGTCCCACCTGTGCAACCGCACAGCCCCAATATTGCCACTGCCACATCCCAACCATGTAATTGAAGCTGGTGTCAGGAAGGCTGCTCTACTTCACCACACACACTACTACTGGGGCATAGACCATATTATGGAGTTAGCTGCTAAGCTTGGAGAAAGTCTTACTTTCCATCAATCAGCTGTGTTGCTAATTCTAAACCTGCTCTATTGACTTATCCATCATCCACATAATTGGCTGCATCACATACCCTTTCACAACTCTCCAAAGCAGCAGTGGAGCAGCCATCTCAATTTTTAATTTGCTTGGCTTTCACAGTGTAAGTTAAGTGCTTAAAGAATCACACTTTGAAACTATTACTAGTCAGAGACCGACTGTCCGGATTTTTCTGGTTACCAGCTAATGAGTACTACTGTGTGTACTACAAACTTCCAGACAATAACAGAGCCTATGCTTTATTTTTAGAACAGATCCTGTTTTGGCAGTCACCTCTGGCACATTTACAAGTTGAAGTATTTTTAACATATCTATTTCCTTCTTAACGTTTATGGGGAAATCTGCTGGTTATATGCAATTCTGGATAAACAGAAGAAAGTAATGTACAATCTAGCTACTATTCAATGGTAAGACATACCATTCTATATGTAACAGAAATTAAGGAGTTCTAATCTTACTTTGGGATTCCTCAGGAATGCAAATACCCATTTGCTACTCAAAAGAATAAACCAGATAATTTATTTCTTCAAGGAAATCAGATGTTTCACTTAACTATCCCTAGAGTATTAACACTGTAAACGCAGCAGTTATAATGAGGCTCTAGAGAACTAATAATTATTAATTTAGAAATCAGCAACAAGTGCTTGATATTATTCAGAAAAAGAACTTACCTTTTGCAATTCGAGAATATTTGATTATTCAGACACTTCACATGGGGTCTTTCCCACCCACACCCCCTTCTGCCAAGGCCTACTCTGATGCCATCAGGTTAATTCTCTGCAAAATATAGGTCTTGTCTACTGCTAAACTTTAGGTCAGGTTTCTTTGCAGTTCTGAAAAAAACCTTTCACTTTATATACACAGCATAGAACAGTGATCTTTTTGCTAGAGCTACCAGAGTTAGCTTCACAACAACTTGATGCTTATCCAGAGGTACCTTTATTAAACTCTGCTGGAGTATTGCTCTCTGTTTCTAACACATACTTTTTATTCTACGGGCAAATCTGAAGAACAAGATGTAGAAGAATCCAACACTATGTATTCTCAAAACTCTCTTCCAATCTTCTTCAGCCTTTTAGGGCTATAAATACAGAGGCTATAAATTGTAGCTTTAATCCTTCTATGTAGTGTTCATAAATTCCTCATCTTTCCATAATTACCTAGTCCATTATTGTCTTGCATTTCCATTGGCTCACTCTGAGTCATAAAATCATACCACCTCATCTCCAAAGGGCCGAAGCACTTGTGTCCAGTAGCAAAAAGGAAACATCCTCATTAATAGATTCTAGCTGCAACATTTTTTATTTATTAGCAGCCAAACATGTTCGCAGTCTTGAAACACCAACCCAAATGTGCTTTTATTTTTTATTATAGCAATACAGCAGGCACGCGCACAACGAGAAGCAAAGAAACATCATGATTTCTACACTCCTGCTCAGAAGCAACACCTCCTTTTCCACATTATAGTACCACTTTCCTAACTGAAGGGAAGAGACGAAGCTAGGTCATTTGGAGGAGAGGACAGACGGGGAACTGGGATGCAGAGGGAGGAGAGAGTCGGGAATTCAGAGGGAGGACAGAAACACGTAAAAGGGATTGGACAAATGCAAGAAATCAGTTCAGGAGGGATGTACAAAACCCGAGAAAAAATGTTTTTATAAAGAGGTGGGAAAAGAGTTCCTAGGAGAAGGAACGCTCGAGGTTTGGCAGGCCCCCCTGGGTTTCTGAAGAGCGCCCTCTGCCAGGGGCAACCCCCCTCCGCTACTCCCACGGGGCCACCCCTAGGGGCCGCCGCAGCCCAACCTGCGCGCCGAGGGGAGGCAGGGCGGGGGCGCTACGTACCCAGCAGCAGCAGGCGGTGCGTCTGCTTGTATTCCCTTTTCTGCTCCTTGAGCGCTCGGTCGATGCTCTTGCTCACGCGCCTCGCCTCCTTCTCCGCCTCCCGCTCCTCCAGGCGCAGCTTCTCCCAAGGTCTCTGCAGCGCCAGCGGCTGCTGCTTCGCCGCCGAGCCCGACTCGGGCTTGGCCTGGGGCGGCGCCGCCGTGGCAGCTGCGAGGGGTGGCGACGGCCCCCGTTGCCGCTGCCGCCCCTTGTCCTTCTCCGCGGGAGCCGCCCCGTTGCCCGCTCCGTTCTGCAGGAGCAGCAGCGGCCCGTCCAGCTCCACCGCGCGCGCCTTGCCGCCTTCCGCCTCCCCGCCGCTGCAGATGCTGCCACTGCCGCCGCCGCTTTTCCCCGCGCTCCTTCCTCGTCCTCCTCCCCCGGCGGCCGGGGCTCCGGGCAGGGGCGGCTGCGGCCGGGCCAGGGGCTCCGCCGTGGGCGGCGGCGGCTGTTGCTCGGTCTCCGAGGTGGTGGTGGTGGCGGCGGCGGTGGCGCTGGAGATGGAGCCGCCTCCGGAGTCGCCGAAGAGCCTCGGGCGCAGGCTGTAGCAGAGCCCCATGTCTCGCGGAACCGACGAGCTGTGCGCGCGTCCGGGCTGAAGGCGTCCGGCAGGCAGCGGCTCTCAGCGCTCGCCGCGGTCCCCGCGCGTCAGGGCCGCGGAGGGCGCGCCAGGCAGCCCCTCCTCACAGCCCCGCCGCCGCTGCTGCAGCTGCTGGGCCATGTTGCATTTTCCTCGCTTCTCTGCCCTCCTCCTCCTCCGGGCAAGCGGCGTCGTTTGGGCGGCAGCGCCAGCGGCAACTCGCCTCAGATCACCTGACACGGACCCGCCGCCGCCGCCGTGGCTACCTTACCGTAAATACCCCAGCGCAAGCCCACCGCCACGCAGCTCGAGGTTACCGAAAGACTGGAAGGGAGCCAAGGCGCGCACGCACACACGTGTGTGTGTGGTGTGGACACACACACGCAGAATCCTCGTTCCCTCTAAGCAAACCCCTCTCCTTGAGACACCGGCAGGGACAACCCTGCCTTTCCTCAGGCTGTCCCTCCTCCTTCGCAAATATAGCCATTTACTACAAACCCTTTTTACAGGCTGAATGGCGCTCCCTAGCTATTAAAGCACTTGGATGTTTATTGCCACAGCATATAACCGCCCTGAAAGTGATCAGCCTCCACAGCACTGTGTTGCCTATCTTTTTGTTTTGTTGGCCATCTCTGGCGTGGTAGTAGTTACTGCACATTCTCACTCTCAATTGCAATGCAAATACACTGATGTGGTTGAGTGCACATACGGAGAGGTCTGGCACAGAATGGCCTTTTTGAAACCACACTCTTCTGATTGTGTAGAAGAATCTGAGATTTAAATGGCTTCAGTAAGTGGCACTTATTACCTGAGGTCAACAGACCCAGCAGCCTCTGTGCCAGCTACAGACATGAGAGTAGATGGTAAAAGCTACTTTTCTGACACTACATTTCTCAGTGCATGCCATGAAACCCGCTGATTATGCTCTTTGTTATAGTGGTGGGATAGCCAGACATGAAGGCAGGTTTTGCAGCACTTGGGATCTTCTATGCAATTTGCTATTAAAGAATGGTAGAATATGCAATTCTACCATTACAGAAACCCCCCCCCCCCAGGTCACTTCTTATCTTTATTTATTTGGAGAGATCACTTGCTGACACCAAGTTTTCTTTCTGGGTAGGACAGATCAATGGCATGCCATTGGTTCTAAAGGATGCCAACATCTTCATGGCTGACACTTTCCCAGATTCTGTTCCCAAAATTCCTCTACCTGAGAAACATCATCACCTGGACTCACAGATAGGAGGCACTTGTGCAGTTCTACATGACAAACCTAGAAGACATGAGAGACTACAGCACGTCACTGACAGCTCCTAATTAAAACCACGACACTTCTCTCTTACAGGCCTTGGGTGACATTCCTGTACTTAGTAACATACAGCCCCTCAAATTAAAACACATTCATCAGCAACAACAGGCCACATAACTTGGACCAGACCCTGTGGCAGGTTCAGATGCCAGTTCTGTCCCATATCTGCTCTGGCAACACAATTACAGGACCTAAAATGTCATGCACAACATCAGGGGTTCATTTATTTTCTCATCTTCCAATGTGTTGTGTGCCATCACCTGCCAGCAATACCCTTCTGCATTCTGCAAAGGACAAACATGACAGCCTCTGCATGAAATAATGGACACAAATCTGACATTAAAAAAATGGCAGTACCAAAAAGCCAGTGGGGGGACATTTCATCCTCCCAGGACACTTTATTACTGACCAAGTAATGTGACCAAGTAATGTGAAAAGAAGGTGACCAAGCTGGAACAAAGAGAAAACATGAAACTGCTAAATTACCAATAATCACAAAGTTCAATGCTATTACTTGTGGACTGAATTGAAGCAATTAATTTTCTTAACAGTACAGTATATGTGTTAATTGACTTAAAAATGCCAGGATCTCTGTGTTACAAACATAAGCCTTTTGGAGAATGGCCACCTTTCATGGAATTAGCACTGTCTGTAGAAGAAGAAGAGTTTGGATTTGATATCCCGCTTTATCACTACCCGAAGGAGTCTGAAAGCGGCTAACATTCTCCTTTCCCTTCCTCCCCCACAACAAACACTCTGTGAGGTGAAATAAAAAAATCCTTCCTGTAGCACCTTAAAGACCAACTAAGTTAGTGCATGCACACTTCTTCAGATACGCACACGAAAGCTTATACCAAGAACTAACTTAGTTGGTCCTTAAGGTGCTACAGGAAGGGATTTTTTTATTTTTGACTATGGCAGACCAACACGGCTACCCATCTGTATCTGTGAGGTGAGTGAGGCTGAGAGACTTCAAAGAAGTGTGACTAGCTCAATGTCACCCAGCAGCTGTATGTAGAGGAACGGAGACAGGGACCCGGGTTCACCAGATTACGAGTCTACCGCTCTTAACCACTACACCACACTGGCTCTGTACATTTCTGCATCTCATTTTCTTCTGACCTCAGTGTTTACATCTGCCTCCCTCTAAGAGAGAGAGAGAGTCACACAAAGATGCAACTCAGGATAGCACTAAATGCATCTAATGAAGTGGACTCTAGTCTACAAAGCTAGCTCTTAGTAATCCAAATACACAAGCTAAAAATAAAAACCCTACTTCATTTTGTCAAGGTAAGAGAGAAAATATACTAATATGCATTTGAACATTCTAAATAATAAAGCATTAATGAATGTTTACTCTACACAAATTGATCATTTGCTGAAGATTGGCACAGCTAAGTTTTCTCCAGGATGCAACTGTGGAAATCAAATTAAGTCATATGAAGGTCAATAGTTCAATGCACTTCAAATTAGGAAACAGTTAATGGCAGAAAAATGAGGGACAGCACAGGAAATTAATGATAATTGGTCTAAATGTAAGAGAAAGAGATAACTGAGGAGGGAGAAAGGTTGTTTTCTGCTGCTCCAGAGAAGCGGACACAGAGCAATGGATTAAACTACAAGAAAGAAGATTCCACCTGAACATTAGGAAGAACTTCCTGACAGTAAGAGCTGTTCAACAGTGGAATTTGCTGCCAAGGAGTGTGGTGGAGTCTCCTTCTTTGGAGGTCTTTAAGCAGAGGCTTGACAACCATATGTCAGGAGTGCTCTGATGGTGTTTCCTGCTTGGCAGGGGGTTGGACTCGATGGCCCTTGTGGTCTATTCCAACTCTATGATTCTATGATTCTATGAACTGACAAAATACTTCAACACAAATAATGAAGGGCATAAGTAATATTTTACCCTTTCCAAAATACGTATGTGACATTTAACCAAATCTAAGTTGGCAAATCGATGTTGGTAATAGTAATAAAGAAAAACAAGACTATTGCTCTAGTTCTGTAGCTAGAGCAATAGTCTTGCTCTATAGCAGGGGTCAGCAACCTTTTTCAGCCGTGGGCTGAAACACAGTCCCTCAGACCATGTGGGAGGCTGGACTGTATTTTTTGGGGGGTGGGGGGTGGAAATGAACGAATTCCTATGCTCCACAAATAACCCAGAGATGCATTTTAAATAACAGCACACATTCTACTCATGTAAAAACGCCAGCAGGCCCCACAAATAACCCAGAGATTCATTTTAAATAAAAAGATACATTCTACTCATGTAAAAACACACTGATTCCTGGACCATCCGTGGGCCAGATTGAGAAGGCGATTGGGCCACATCCGGCCCCCGGGCCTTAGGTTGCCTACCCATGCTCTATACAGTCATACCGTGTGTTGCGTTCTGCTCTTGTTACGGACTTTCAGCTTACAAATGCGGCAAACCCAGAAGTGTTTGCAGACTTTTCGGGGTGCAAAAAGCACCCCAAAATGGATTAAGTCTGCAACTAGAGATACCACTGTAGTTTGCAGCTAACCGAAAACAGCATCTGCACTTGGATTCATGGTGTGTACATATGCCTTGCTATGACTTCTGTTTGCTATTTTTTCCTGTGACCAATCTGAAACACAGCAGTAGCAAAGAAATATGATTTAGTGCAGAAATCACCATCAAATAAGAAGCTTTCAAATGGGTTCTAGACTTCCTTCATTTGAACATGTCCACCACTGTCACTCAAGCTGTCCCCTGAGCTGTTGCATTGCCACCTGGCATCTGCATGGGTTCTGCCATGTAGGAGAGGGCACTTGGGAATGATGGCAGAAACCATCTGGGTCAGAATGGTGTCTGTATACTACTAGAAGCCCTGGTCTGTCTCTTTACCCAGCATCAAGTAAAAGCATGCAGTCTTAGTGATCTGTCTAATGATGTAATCAGTGAAGGGGGGAGGACTACAATCCAGCACCTTTATGGCAAATAAGATAGCACAGTCAGATTGTGAATGCACTTTTCTGAAGACCTATAAGCCCTACTTATCAGCATGTCATTAGGGCTTCACTAAATAAGCTCTGCCCCCAGGCACCTGGGCATGTAATGATTACTTCAGAGTACAGTGGACGCTCGGGTTGTGAACGTGATCCGTGCGGGAGGCACGTTTGCAACCCACAGTAGTGCTTCTGCGCATACGTGAGCGCCGAAACCCGGAAGTAACCCATTCCGGTACTTCTGGGTTTGGCGTGGTGCGCAACCCGAAAATGCGCAACCTGAAGCGTATGTAACCTGAGGTATGACTGTACTCTGATTAACACCAGGAGTAGAGGCACTTGGGGAGCAGGATGATGAATGGGAAAGAGATGAATGGGATGACACAATGGAGTAGAACCTGGTTGATGGGAACTCCCCTCCGCCTCTGGATGCATCTGGCTCTGCAGTTGAAGCAGGCTTCCAGTTCCCAGTGGAAGAGAGTGGGAAGTTACGAAGGCCACTTCTCCACCAGAGAATGGGGAAGGTTCCAGGGTGTAGTGTGTTGTGACATGGTGGGAGGATTTACAGGTGGCAGCATGTCCAGCATTATCACCCAGGGAGAGCTGGCACATCAATACATCGATAGAAAAGAAGAGACATGTCCCTCTAGAAAGGGGGTGGACCTAGTCAGGGGCATGGCTAGTTCATGTAGCCCTGTGCTCCATTTATCCATTGGTCTCAGTGTGAGCAATAGCTTCTGAATAAGACTATAGCAGAAGAAATACATGTTTATTCCATGCTGAATTGTATTCTGAGGCTGGAATTGGGGAAAAAAAAGATTTTAAAAA